GAAGGATCGCCGGAGCCCAGCAGGTCGAGGCTGCGGTGGCCGGGAGCGGCCACTGCACAAGACGGATGAGCCTGGGTGTCTGTGGAAGATCCTCTGCCTTCAAAAAGGGCATTTGTTGAGCACCGACTGTGTGCCCAGTACCATGGGTGGTCTCTCCCAAGATGGGAAGCCTTGATCATCCTTCTAGGACACCGTGAGACCTGAGCGCCAGGACTGATGAGGACGCACAGGCTCGGAGAAAAGTAACTTTCTAAAAGTCACCCAGTGGAGCCAGGTTTTGAAGTCAGATCTGAGACTGCCAGTTTTCTTGGGCATCACGGAAGCTGAGGCAGGGCACACAGGGCCCTGGAGACTGCCTTTCCTCACGGGAGTAGGAGAGAAAGAATGAGCGAGTCGGAGCTAGGTTCGGGGGATCCTGCCTGCTCCCCCAAGCTCTCCTGGGAAGAACTGCAGACACTGCGTGCTTCACTCATGGGCCCAAGGACACCGGCTGCTCCCACGCTCAGTGGCCACGTGCAGAAGCCCGGGAATCAGCCTGCCTGACTTTAAATCCTGGTTCTGCAACTGACAAATTCCTTCTTTCTCTCTCTCTCTCTTTTTTGAGTCAGAGTCTCATTCTGTAGCCCAGGCTGGAGTGCAGGGGCAGGCTTAGGGCCACCCCAGTGTTGACCTGCTGGGCTCTGGCAATCCTTCCACCTCAGCCTTCCAAGTGGCTGGAACTACAGGCGCGCATTACCATGCCTGGCTAATTTTCGATTTATTGTAGAAACAAGGTCTCACCAAGTTGCCCAGGCTGGTCTCAAACCCACGGGCTCAGACAACCCACTTGCCTCAGCCTTCCAAAAAGCTGGGATGACAGGCTGAGCCAACGAGCCCGGCCAATCTTCACAAAGAATGCAGGGCCTCTCCTCCCATGCTCCTGATGACAGCTAGACCCACCGCTCTCTAGTTTCATATGGATTTTCTAGTATAATTCTCATCATACCAGCTCCCCTGGAAGCTTCTGGCAGGCACATGGGTGTCCCTTGAAGGGAGCCACCATTGTATCCACCTGTCATGGGCTAAACTGTGTCCCCACGGAATTCCTATGTTGAAGGCCTGACCCCAGGACCTTAGAATGTGACTGTATGTGGAGATGAGGCCTTTGAGGAGGTAATCAAGCCATAACAAGGTCACACAGATAGGGCTGTGCCCTCACTACAAGAGGAGATTAGAACATGGGTACCCACAGAGGGGCGGCCATGCGAGTGCACGAGAGGGCAGTGGCTGTCTGCACGCCAAGGAGTGAGCACTCAGGAGAAAATGCCCCTGCCCACCTCCTGACCAGGACTTCCTTCCAGCCTTGAGGACTGGGAGTGACAGGCGCTTGTGGCACAGGCCATGCTGTCCGTGGAGCCTTGTGGCGGACCCAGGGAATAGACGTACCACCCTGCCGCGACGGGGCGGGAGCAGCCGGGACTTGGCCGGCCCGGCTGCCAGTGGGGCCTGCCGAGGAGCCCAGGCTGTCTGGGCGCGGGGCCGTGCGCGCCTTACCAGGGCCTTGAGCAGCTGCCACTGGTGCTCGTCCGGGCACGGGGAGGAGCCCTGCTCCAGGGCGCACTGCTCTCGCAGCTCCTGCAGAAGGCGCTTCTTCCCCGACAGCCGCATCTGCACCAGCGTGGCCAGGGCGCCTCCACGGAGCGCCATCCTCCGCAGTGCCGCGCGCAGCAGCAGCTCGTGCCCCTGCAGGACGCACCGCGTGGACCTTCGAGGAAAGCGGGCAGTGGTCGGGGTCAGTGCCACCCCGTGGAGCTCCCGAGAAACTCCCCAAACGGTCACGGCCCACAGGGAGCCTCCCCCAAAGTGCCCGTCCACTTACACGCGGAGGCTCACCTGGGCACCGTCCAGCTATCTGCTCTTTGGTTAGCCTGTTTCACTTGAGCACAGCCTGTCCAACGGTCCCAGGCACACATACAGCTGCCCACAGTCACGGCCACTTGAAACTCTCAAAGTGGGCACATCCAACCCTGACATCTTGAGCTGTTTCCGAGTTCCTATCTCGGTGGAAAACCCTCAGCCTACCAGAGAGGCCCAACACGGGGTTGTATAACCTGGGGTGTTTGCTGAGGGGTTAGCCAGAGGTCTGATGGTCAGCCTGCCAAGGAAAACCCTGGCAGACACTCCAGGCTCTCCTGTGGGGGCCCCCGTCATAGGAATAAGGAACCATGCCTCACAAAGACATGACTCTGAATCAGCGAAATCCCCAGATGGGTGGAATTCATCTACCGCTATCTGAAATTCCTGTTAGAGGTAAGCTAAATCCTCTCTGGGGAAGGTCACATCCCTTGAAGTCTTAAATGCTCTCTGCAATTTTTTATGTTTAGTGGTCATCATTCAATAAAGATAACCAGACATACAAACAGATAAGAAGTAACCAAAAAGAAAGAGAAAAAAAGACCACAGGTATCCAGAGCTATCCCACAAGATATAACCACGTAATATCTTCTCTCACAATATATCTGGTAACAGAAGAATCAGACATGAACTTTACAATAATTATGATTAACGTGCGGGAGAATTTAAACGATCAGAGGAATTTCAGCAGATAACTGGAAACTATGAAGAGAATCAAATGACAATTCTAGAATTAAAAACACAAACGGACATTAACCACTCGTAGATGGGTTCAGTAGCCAATAAAACATAATTGAAGAGAGTGAACTGGAAGATAGCTCAGAAGAAAGTATCTAGACTGAGCCACAGAGAACCAAGACTGAAAAATACAGAATAGCATGTAAGAGACATATGGGTAAGGCTTAAAAAAAAAAAAGTCTCATACACAGTGTACCTGGAGTCCCAGAAAGAGAGAAGGGAGAGAGTGGGCTGAGAAAGATTTAAAGAGGAAATGGATGAGAATTTTCATAAACTAAAGATTGACATTAAACATAAATGGGTTAAACATTAATACAACGAAAAGACACAGGCTTTCAGGCTGGACAGATCCTCAGATCACCCTCTGTCGTCCTCAGTATGGCTCCCCAGGTCTCCCTGGTCCATCCCTACTTATGTTTCCATCCTCTTCTTCCGATACCTCCCCCGTATTATCTAATACTTTGGCTATGTGCCTGCTTCTTGATGGCTCACACAAATTAGGCTCCTGGACAGGGTTGGAGAACTAAAAACACTTGACATGGCTAAATTTATTTATATCGTAATATCTTCTCTCACGTGAAAGCAGGAAAAAGAAATATTTCCAGCCATCAAAAAGACCATAGTACACTAATAGCTACAGCAAAAAAGTGTAAAAAATAGGAACATTGTTTAATAAATGGGAAGTGACAACAAACGGGGAGGGACCACAAATGGGTACAAGGGGTCTTTTTGGGGTGAGGGGAGCGTCCTAAGTTTGGATTGTGGCGATGGGTATAGAACTCTATAAACCCAAGGAACTATACTATAGATTACATCTATAGTAAGTGTCTATAGATTACATCTCAAAAAAGCCTGTTCAGCTAGATAAGCCCCCTGTGAAGGACAACTCTGTGAAGGACGTATCATTAGCCCCCATTTTTTTGATGAGGAAATATCTAGGTGAAGAAATGTCAAGTCGTTTACATTCAGGGGAAGGCAGGGAGACAGCATGCCCACCTCACAGCTGAAGCCACCGAGGCTAGCATGGAATGGCACGGAAGACACAAAGCTCCGTACTCACTCTTCAGTGAGGCCGCCGAGTCTGCCTAGGACGCCATGGATGGTGTTCTCGTGGTCTTCCCGCAGGTGTGTCTGCAGCACCGTGGACAGAGTATACTCCTCCAGCCACACCTGAATGCCAGGGCAGAGGGACAGAGCAGGAACCTGGTTACTCATTTCAACAATCTTTCTTGATTGGACCGTGCCTTTTGTTTCATGTTTAAAAAAAAAAAAGAAAAAGAAAAACCCTTTTTCGAATGTTCATTCACTGTTGATGGGATTGTAAACTAGTTCAACCTCAATGGGAAACAGTATGGAGATTTCTCAAAGAACTGACAACTAAATTACCACTTGACTCAGCAATTCCACTACTAGAAATCCACTCAACGGAAAATAAATCAATATTTTAAAAAATCTATACTTGTATGTTCATTGCAGCACTATTCACAATAGTAAAATCGTGGAACTAACCTAAGCGCCCGCCAACAATTGACTGGATAAAGAAAATGTGACACACACACACACACACACACACACACACACACACACACACACACACACCATGGAATACTACACAGCCATAGAAAAGAGTGAAATCATGTCCTTTGCAGCAACATGCATGGAGCTAGAGATCACTATCCTAAACGAACTGACTCATAAACAGAAAACCAAACATCATAGGTCTCACTTATACGTGTGAGCTAAATAGCCACAGAGATGGAAATAATAGACTTTGGGGACACCCATAAGAGGGGAGGGGGGCTAGGAATCAGAAACTACTTATGGGGTGCAATGTTCACGGTCTGGGGGATGGGCCACCTGAGACCCAATCTCCACCACTAGACAACATGTCCATGCAGCTAACACGCACATATATCCCCCAACTCTCAAATAAAAGTGGGAAAAATCTTTTTCTCCCCCGATTTCATTAAAATTTTCTCCTGCGTTTTCTTCTAAAATATTTTTCCTATTTTCCCTAAAGCATCTCAAATTTATTTTCTATGGAGTGAGGAGGGGATCTAATTTTCTCTGGATAAATGGATAACATTGCCCCAGCACTGTTTATTCGATAATTTATTTTTTTCTGGCTTTCCTGTGATGCCACTTTGCCTTATGGAATTAACACATAAACACACATCTCGTGTCAGGCTCTGTATTTTGTTCTGTTGGCCTGCCTGTTTATTTTGGCACCCATGCCGCCCTGTTTTGATTTGATTGCTAAGGTTGCAGCAATTAAACATCGTACCTGCTAGGGCAGATCTCCCCTTATTTTTCTGTTCGAAATTGTCTTAGCCATTTTTGGCAGCTTTTCCTTTCCTATGACTTTTAGGACAAGTTGGTCGAGTTTAGGAAAGAAATGTTTTGGAATTTTCTTGTAACTAGGTTGATGTTGTAGATTAATTCAGAGAGAATCACCGTCTTTACAAAACTGAATTCCCCACACAAGAATATGGCATTTCTCTCGTCTTTATGCCCTCAATACCACTTTATAAACTCCATTAAGTTCTTATCCATGTTGTTCAGCCTTACTTTTAGGTACCCTAAAACTTTTATCTGAAATGTATTGTTCTTTATGTTATCACTAGGCACTACTGGTATAAAGAAAATCTACTTGCTTGGGTTGATTTTGCATCTGGCAACCTTACAGTGCAGTCTTAATAGTTGCGACCATTTTGTCTGTGAATTCCTTTGGCTTTTATTTTTATTTTTTATTTTTTTGAGTTGGAGTCTCACTCTGTCACCCAGACTGGAGTGCAGTGGCCGCTCCTGGCCACCGCAGCCTCGACCTGCTGGGCTCCGGCGATCCTTCCGCCTCAGCCTTCCAAGTCGCTGGAACTACAGGTGCGTGCTACCATGCCCAGCTAATTTTTTTATTTATTGTAGAGATGAGGTCTCGCCAAGTTACCCAGGCGGGTCTCAAATCCACGGGCTCAGGCAACCCACTCACCTCGGCCTCCCAAGGCACGGGATTATAGGCTGAGCCATTGAGCCTGGCTCCTTTGGCTTTTAAACAGAGGCGTTCACATTATCCACAACTGTGATTCGCAAAAATTCTCTGTAGGCCCATCCGTGCCTCCTCATTGGCTGTGCTGTGCAAGTCTTATTTTCACGGCCGGACTTGCGTGAGGCGGGGAGTTAAAACTTCCCATTGCGACTTCAGTGTGTTCATTTCCCTTTCAATGCTGTCGAGTTTTGCTCTATGTGTCTTGAGACTGAAATGTGGTCTCTTTCCCAGGAACTATTCCTTTCACTTTACGCAATGAACCTTTTTATCCCCGAGGAATGCTTTCAACTAACATACAGTTCATTAGACGTGAGTATCACCCTCCAGTTTTCTTTCGGTTGCTGTTTGCCTGGCACATTGTGATCCTTTCTTTGACTTTCTAGCCTGGTGTCCTGATGATCCAGCTGAGCTCGTGTCAAGCCACAGGGCTCAACTGGGAGATGTTTCTTCAGCCATCAACACGACCCTGTGGCTGCTCGTTGTGGCCAGTGGTGCACTTGCACTCAGGCCCGCTTGAGCTGGTGCTTCCTAGTTTCCATACTTTCTCTTTGCGTCATGACCTCTTCTTTCTGTGTTTCACTGGCGTCATCATTCCTTATTGCAGACTTTCTTCTCCACCTTAGAAGCCACACATTCGGCCGGGCTCGGTGGCTCAGCCTGTAATCCCACACCTTTGGGAGGCCGAGGTGAGTGGATTGCCTGAGCCCGCGGGTTTGAGACCTGCCTGGGCAGTGAGACCTCATCTCTACAATAAATCAAAAAAATTAGCCGGGCGTGGTAGCGTGCGCCTGTAGTTCCAGCTCCTTGGAAGGCTGAAGCGGAAGGATCGCCAGAGCCCAGCAGGTCGAGGCTGCGGTGGCCGGGAGTGGCCGCTGCACTCCAGTCTGAGCGACAGTGAGACTCCGACTCAAAAAAAAAAAAAAGAAGTCACACATTCTACCTCGTTGTACTACTGTGGTCAACACACTCCAAAGATCACCAGGAGCCGCCTGGGGTGGACAGGCTGGGCTGTCACTCGGTGCAGCAAGGGAGGACCGGCAGAAGGTCAGAGCCCTGACTCTCAGGTGTTGGCTGCGGGGGGTGACCTGGGGAGGGCGCGAGGAAGCCGGACTTGGCTCTGAGTGGGGGCTGTCAGGGAGCGGGGTCATGCAATGACTGGGCAGCCCCATCAGTCTTCTCTAGAGCGAGGGGCACTTCAAGATGGTGCCAAAGTCAGGTGTGTCAGGCAGCAGCCCCGGTCCATCTCAGCCAGGACGGGGCTGCCTGGGCATCTGGGGGGTTGGGCAGTGCGCACATTTGGTTCCGTGTTCAGACATGGTTGCAGAGTGGCCTCGTTTCTGTTCCCATCTTTCATGTCACGAATGGCCTTGTCTGAGGTTGGTTTTCCGAGTAGTGCGATAGAGCAGGCTCTGCTGTGAGCTCCGGGGGGGGGGTTGGTTTTTTCCTCCTCCCGTGGTTACTCTTCATTTTTTAAGCTGCATACTAACGTTGTGAGTACAAAGTTAATACTTCTTCTTCCACCAGAATTAAGAGTCAGCACACACACTAGGCACCACGTCTTGGCCAGCAGAAACACAATTCCAGCGTTCTGCCTTCTGTGATGCCGCCCTCCGTCATTCCGGTTCAGTTCTGTGGTCTGAACGCTTCACATTTGAGCCATCAGTGTTCCTTTGCCCAATATTATTTATTTCCTTCATTCCAACTGCTCTCCTTTACTGTTTTGAAAACTACACATTCTATTTCTATAGGATTATAGAGACATTTTGTTCCTGCAGGACTCTGTCGTTCCTAGTCGCCGTGTCTTTTAACTCTTTTCACACTTTCTGTCTCCTTTGCTTTCTGGGCTGTGTTCTGGGACTGCATTCTCACATTTACCTTCCAGTGTACACACTGTTTCTTTAGCCACATCTAATCTGCTACTTAACTCATCCATTACGTTTCTGTTCTCGTGACTTTAATTTTCATTCATATATATATCTTTTATTCTGTTTCTTTTCATAGTCTCCTATCTTTAGGGCTATTCATTCCTTTTGCTTTTTATCTATTATTATTTTTAAAGCATACTCACTTTCTAAGACTTTCTAACAGTGCCTTTATCTGCATGCCCTAGTGTTGCTGTGGTCTAGACATGGTGCCTAGTGTGTGTGCTGACTCTTAATTATGGTGGATAGTTCCTTGTGTGTTTTGCAGTTTGGGATGTTAGCCCATGTTCAGTGAGGTGTTACCTGTGAAAATCTTAGGTCCAAGGTTACACAGCTGATAGTGGAGCAGGAACTGAAATCTAAGTCTGTCCATCTCCAAAGCTCAACTCTTTTCTAGTTCCTCCCCGACTACCTCATACCACCAGGAAAAACTTGAGCCTAACCCACAAAGACCACGCTACAACCAAGGACTCATTCATTAAGGTGAGAGCCCTTTCCCTTTCCTGATTTGTAATATTTTAAAAGAGTCTACCTCCAGTAGCCTAGAGATGGTACAGACTACATTCAGAATATGGATAAAACACGGAAGCATGAACAGAAGCATCCGCAGCCTGGGCCTCAGTTCTCTTGGGCGCTGTGATTCATAACACTCACACTTAATCTCAAAAAACTATATTGTGTTACCTGGAGCATTTTGTCAAACTCATTCTCTGACTCTTCTTGTGAGACATTTACAATAATCTGTCAAAGTGCTTGGGAAACCAGAATATTCTAGAAAATCCTACTACACAGTCTTGATGCTTTAAAAGATGAGTTGACATTGTCACTAAAGTATGTGAGGGTTGTAGCTGTGCATTTTGAGAATGCAGCTAAAACTAGCAAAGGAGTCAAGGACAAGCAAGAAGACTAAGACCCCCAGCCTAGGTGGCACCTACAATTGTCACACGAACCACTCCAACATTGTCAGATGCAGACTCATAAACGCTTACATACAGAAGCAAACAAGCTGCTTCCACGGGCAAGAGTGCTTACCTCAGTCACTGCTACCAGGCAATTTTGTGGCCTCAGATAAATTATATTCTTTGTTTCTAACTTTCATATATTCACTGGGAGAAAGGCAAAAGGAACTAAGAGTCATTGATGCCCGGTGAGTGCTGAAGGTTTGGTAGTGTCCTCCTAGAAACAGGGAGGGTTTAGAGGTAGGG